GCACGCACGCACGCACGCACGCACATTACATACGTATCAAAAATTATCAAAAAATACCTTTCTAAATCAGATGGAAAACGAAAAAAGCTTAGATGACGATCTGCTCCGGAATTATTGTTACAGTCACGCATTGCACACATAAAACCACCATCAATTACACGTTTCATTTTGTATATTTTTAAATACATTTAAAGCTAAAATATCAAGAGTATCTTTCAATAGCAGACAATCATCGATTAAAGTTAATCGGAGTTGATTCTAATTGTATTACCCATCTGGAAAGCTCCCTTTGATATACATAACCTCATGTCAGCTGTACTTACTGTTTAATTGACGCCATGTTGTCGGTAGTAATACAGCGCATGCGCGGTGAAATTTCTCCGACGCTATTTCTACGGAGTGCCGCTACTGGTTATACTTATACTGTGACCCGGAGGTAATTGTAGAGCTGCTTTGGCTGCTCTGAAGATAAATTGTACCTCACTGTAATCACTGTTTTTTCATCAGAAATGTATTAAATCGATAAATCTAAGAATGTATAGAGAATGTGAAAGATAAAACACGATTTAGTATCTGTGAGTAGTATAAAAAAAAAATATTTTATATTTTTTCCAATATTTTAATTTTTTTGATTAAATTGACAATTATACGTTAATTTCTCATTGTTAAAGTTATTAAATTTAAAATAATTTTAATTCAATTTTTTCAAGAATGTAATTTTTTCAAGAATTTAATTTTTTCAAGAATGTAATCTTCCCTTGCGGAAAAACTTTTACGAAAATTTACATAGATTGAAACAACACTTTAAAAAATATTAGTTCGTCATAGTAGGTTTTCGTAGTGAGACATCAAGCGGCGTTGTTTGTATGAAAAACTTAGAAATCTTGCTCTCTCAAATAACATCACTCTACATCCCACTACGAATATCTACGAAAAATTAAGAATTTTTTAAATCTTGTCTCAGTCTATGTAATTATTGTTTAATTTAACGTTTAATAGATCTCAACAAAGTTACCTTTTTAAAAAAAGGTAAAAAAAAGACGCCAAGTGTGTGTGCCCTTTCATAAACCCATAAAAAACTGTTTCAGTAGTACGTATGCATGCATTAAAAAAAATGAAGTAAAATCTTTAAATTGCGCAAATTGCAAAAGAAATATATATTTTCTTGCAACATATAATGTATACTATTGTACTTATATATAATATAAGAAACAATAAGAAATGAAAAATAATGAAGAGATTAAGAATGCATGTAAGAATAAGATAATGATTTCAGATTTGTAAGACATATGCGGTTTAAGTTAAATTTAAAAGTAGATTTTAAATTAATTAAAATCTTAATTGTGTATTGTGATTGTAATTGTGATTGTAATTATGTGTATTGTGATTGTAATTGTGATTGTAATTATGATTGTAATTATAATGTTAATTAATGTTATTAATTAAACAGTAAAAATAGTTTATTTCTTTTATGTAACATTTACTTATTATGTTACTTACAGAGTTCTTGATAAGGGAATAAGAGGAAAGCAACGGAATAATCTAGACTCGAGTATTGGGAAAAGAGTATCTATATTCTTGAGTATTACAAATAGACGACTTGCTCGTGTGCAAAAGGATAACAGTATATATATATATATACACTATATATACTATATATTAATCGGCACGTAACGTCCTCTGTCCACATCTCGGATCAGCGCCACCTATGGTCCAGCAGGGGTAGTCTGTGGAAGCGCACTAAGCGCGCGAATAGAAAATTATGAGAGGGTTCCATTTGCTACATCCCTCTCCCCCTAGAGGTGTAAACATTAGTCTAATAATTTTGCGGGTGTAATTATTCTTCGTCCGCTACGAGTCCGCTTTTCAGTCTGTTCAGTGATCTCGTTCTCGGGTGATATTCCTCCGTTTTCAGACGTGACTCGTTTTGCCTCTGATAATGAGGAAGGCTCGCCAGCATTTGAAGATTGTTTGTACTGATCTTTGAACTGTCTTGATTCTTCGCTAGCTTCTGCTGTTGATAGTTTTAGGGAGTAAAGCCTCTGTACTGGGCGTACTAATTCTCCAGAAGCTGTTTGGAGCTTGGCTACACATATCTTCCCGTCCTGTTCAGGAAAGACCTGAATTACCTTCCCTAGCGGCCAATTCAAACGTTTCAGCTGATCGCTGCCAATGAGTAAGACGTCTCCTACATCGATGTTGGTCTGAGAAGCTTGGCTCCGTCTATTATTCTTGCGAGATAATTGTCCCAAGTATTCGCTTCTGAATCTCTGGCGTAGATGTTCGCGAAATGTCTGACGATACTTGATTCTTTTATTGAGCTTCTCAGCGGAAGCGATTGCGTCTAGATCCGGAATCCCGCTGTTGCGTGTGTCTTGTAAAAACAGCGCTGGTGATAATGGAATCAGTTGGTGAAGCTCTTCTGCAATATATGTGATTGGGCGGGAATTAATAACAGCCATGCAGTCGCATAAAATCGTTGTAAGCTTCTCATAGTTTAGGGAAGCTCGTGTTAACACCTTCCGTAGAATTTCTTTTACGGAACGGACTAGTCTCTCCCATCATCCTCCCCACCAAGCTGCTGAGGGAGGATTGAAGATTGATTGAATTTTCTCCACTGAGCCGTATTCCTCGACCTTTGTCCAGTTGATTTCTTGAAGATTACGGCTGGCTCTTGTGAAGTTGGTCCCGTTGTCCGTGTATACTGTACAAGGCCTTCCTCGCCGCGCCACAAACCTGCGAAAGGCTTCTAGGAACAACTCAGTAGATAAGGATGTTACTAATTCCAGGTGGATGGCTCTATAAACTGCGCAAGTAAAGAGGCAGATCCACGCTTTGGTACCGTTTTTCAGAAATAGTGGGCCTGCATAATCTTTTCTATGCCTGTAATCTCGAAAGTTGTTGCGTCTCTAACTCGGTTTTCTAGTAACGCTATTGGCGATGTCTCGATTTTCTTGGCGTTGTATCTTTTACAAATGATGCACTTTTGAATAACTGATTTGATTGTGCGTCTGTTCTTAATAATCCAATATTGTTCACGTAACCGATTCATTATGATTTCTGTCTGTGCGTAGTTTAACTTTCTATGCGTGAACTCGATCAACTTGTTGACAATTGGATGGCCGCAGTTCAGCACAATCGGATAACGAAACTCGAATGAGTCCTGTCTGTTTGAAATTAAGCTCTTTGTTCTTAGAAGTCCCATTTCATCAGTGTATACACATAAAGTGTTCAGTCTGGGATTGTTGGCACCTGAAAAACTTTCTTCTTAGACTAATCGCAGCAATATTAGTTCCGCTAATTAGACTTCCTTTGTTGATAATGGTGATTTAGACCGAAAATCGTTCTTTTGGCGGCTGTTGTTGATAAATCTTCTTATCCACGCCAGTGTACGAATAATTCGAACGTAGCTCGATGAGGTTGATAGACGATCTACTAAATCTCGCTTGCGATGATTCCTGTTCACATTGTTCCCGTCCTGGACTATCAATTGAATATCGTGATATATTTTTCTTGTGATTTTCTTAGTTTCGCTAGCTATTAATTTTTCGTCTGCTATGAGATCTGAGTTTGGCCATAACTCTGGCGAGAGCTTGAGCCATGAAGGCCCTTCCCACCAGCGAGATTCTAGAAGTTGTTTTGCGTTGCAGCCTCTTGAAGCAAGATCTACAGGGTTCATTTCTCCTGGTACGTAACGCCAAGATTGTGGATTACTTAATTGGCGTATTTCTTGAACTCTGTTCCAAACGAACGTAGCTCATTGTGTCTCTCTCTGTATCCATGCCAAGACCGTCGACGAATCCGTCCAACTGTATTGTTTGATCTCTGAATTGTTCAAGGCATTGGCCACGTTGTTCATTAACCTGGCTCCTATCGAGGCGCTTAATAGTTCCAATCTTGGGATTGTTGCTTTTTCTTTCGGAGCTATTCGGGATTTGGCTTGTATGAAGTGCACTTCTATCTCGCTGTTGTGCTCGATTCTAGCGAAGATTACCGCCCCATAAGCTGTCTGACTTGCATCTACAAAAAGATGTAGGGATAAGGTTTCGCTATTCTTTAAGGCCCATCTTGGGATCTTCAGGTGACGTAAATGTTCTAACTCTTGTTGCCATTGCTGGAAGGCTTCTTTGTCGTTGTTCTCGACTTCTACATCCCAGTCGGTATTCTTGTTCCACAATCTCTTAAGGAGCAATTTAGGCTTGAATTGTACTGGGCATGTTACTCCAAGAGGGTCAAATATTTTTTGTGTAAATGATAGAATTTCTCGTTTTGTAACCTTGACTGGAGTTTTCTGTGACAATGTTGTAGGCGATAACATCAACATGTCTTCTCTGACGTTCCAAAACAGTCCCAGTACTGGAATCTCCTTGTTGGGACCTAGTTTGTTCGAATATTGCCACCCTCTTAAGTCGAAGCCACCTTTAGCCAGAATTGAAGTTGCTTTCTCTTTAAATAATATCGCTTCTTCTTCAGAATGAGTGCTGGTAACACAATTGTCCACGTAGAAGGACCGTTTCAATTTTTGGATGATGCTCTTCTCGTACTGGATGATGCTCTTCTCGTGGGTACCTTCGGCTTCTTTTAATGTTTGTTTTAAATGAAGATCAATAGTAGCCCCTAGTAAAAAAGGGTTGCTGGCGATTCCAAAGACTACTCGACAATGTCGATATATTACAAACTCGTCCGGGCCTTGCGATCTTTTCCACAAGAATCTCATGACGTCGCGCTTCTTGGATGCTACGCTGATTTGTAAAAATGCTTTCCGTATATCAGCAATAAGGCCAATCTTGTTCTCTCTAAATCGTGAGAGCAGCGATGGAATGAGTTCTATAAGGTTTGGTCCGGTTTCTAGGCACTGGTTTAGAGATGGTTGATCTTTTCCTTGAACTGATGCATCGAAGACCGGTCGAATACGAGTTGTACTTCCTTCCTTGATAAAGGGTCGATGTGGTAAGTAGAAGCTTGAATTACTCGTTTCTGCTTCCGGAACTACTTCTATGATGTCTTCTTTCAACCACTCATCGAAGATTTTCTCGTATTCATAAAGTAAATTTTGATCGCGTAACCTCTTTAGGGTGTTCTCTAGTCTTTTCTCTGCTACTTCTCGATTTTCATAGAGTGGAGGGTGGTTCTCCTTCCAGAGAAGGATCACTTCATACTTCCCTGCCGAATTGATCTTAGTAGTTTCTTGAAATTTTATCAGAATTTCTCTGTGGTGTTCTTCTTTTGATAACTTTTGAATTGGATCTTCGATGCCGAGAACGTCGAGACTCCACATGTTTTCTGGACTTGCTTCTGAGGAGAAAATCGCGGAGATCATCAAGGCAGTGTCTTCTTGTCGCTCGTCGGGGACTTTTCCTATTAAAGTCCAGCCGAGTTTAGTTTCCATAGCGATGATATCGTTCTTCAATCTGTGCATTCTTCCTGTGTACAACTTACCAAGAATGTCTGCTCCTATGCTTATCCGTACCTATATCGGAAAGGTTTATAGCTTTTTGTCGTAACTCTTTTTGCCAGGTTCCCTTTACTGGTTGCAAAATATTCTGGCAAATTGCGTCCTGATGGAATGCCACGAAGTTGCATGCGTATGTGTCATCCAGTGAGCGTAAGTTAACTCGATAACATTTATGTTCTTGAGGTGCGGTTTTGGTACCGCCAAAGAGTAGGTGCATCATTGTTTGTGTACCTAATTGTTTGAAATCCAGTTGCTTGACCACGTGTCCTAGGATATAAGAACGATGTGAACCTGAATCGAGAACTGCGCGTACTACTCGTTCTTTGCAGCCGTTCACTAATTTGACACGTAATGTTTGAAAAAATACTCGCGGACTTAGTGAAAGATTTGTTAGACTCTGTCCTTCTGTTTTCTCTTTTATATCATCAGCTGCTTTTGGCTTGTTCGAAGACATGAAGCGACACATTAACAAAACATGCTTTTTGCTGCACCAAGCACACTTTACATTCCTTGCAACTGTGACCTACCTTGAGACAGTAGAAGCACGCATTCTTATCTTTCACTATACTTGTTCTTTCTTCCATGGACATTTTCTTTGCTTTTTCACACTGGGAACTATCGTGGCTCTCGTTGCAGAAAATGCATTTAATAATGCGTATCTCCTTAGCGTTGAGAAGTCCTGCCGCTGTCGGTATTTCACTGGGCTCGGTCTTCGAATTTTTGGCTTTTTTGTCTTTGCTGTCCTTTGTGCTTAGATTGAATCCGTTGACTGCCAAAGCTATACGTTGTTCCGCTTCGACCTCGGACTGCAAGAAAGTCATTAACTTAGTCAAACGTTCTTTCATATCTGTGATACCCGCCGCTGAAGGATGTCTTTGCCTCGCTCTCAATAATTCTTCTAGTAGAGATGACTCGACTAGGGGATATAGCATAGCTGCACACATTTCCGTGGTGACGTCCAGCGATTCTAAAGCTCTTAAATGAGTTTCTAGCTTATCATAAAGGTCAATAATTGGTATCTTAGAATCTTTTTTAGATGCGTTAGTTAATACTAGGTTAAGTAACTCACAGATGTATAATTCTATTAACAGCTCTTTCTTACCGAATCTGCTTTTGAGACTGTCAATGACCTTGTCATAGTTCTCGGCGGTAGGGGGAAAACTGTTGACGAGCCCGTGCGCTCTGGAACCTTTAACCATAGCTTGTGTAAGGTACTGGAATTTATCTTCTTTGGCGATCGCTTGATCCTCGTGAATATTTTTAAATAAGCTCCAAAATAGGAGCCATTCCTTCAAGACCCCATTAAATTTCTGTAACTCGATTTTAAGAAGCTTGAATCTCTTATCTTGCATTACTTGATTGGCTCGCGATGTGCCTGGAAGGTTATGTGCAATGGGGGGGACATCGGCGCGCTGAGGCGGAAGTTCGATATATCGTAAAACTCACCTTCATCTGTTGATATTTGATACGATACTCGTCGGCTCCCTTTGTCTCCTTTATCATCACGTCTTCTTGTATATCTTCCGAGTCCTACATTAATTGAACCAGCTGCTCGTTCAATTCTTCCAGTTCACTGGCCTTTTCCTTGAAAAGTGCGTACAACGCCTTGATTTCGTCTACGTTACGCTCTTC